CATCATAATTATTATATATATATCATTTACACAGTGCCTGTAAACCGGAGGAGAACGCTGGCATTTCTCCTCCTGCTTGAAAGACTACGGAGGGATAGGGTCTGCTAGATTAGTTTATTTTGGGGATTGACTGGATGCTCTGACCGGTCCACTTCCTGCCCGGCGCTATGCAACGCCTCGCGTCGAAAATAGACCAGCATCGTATTTTTAGCAGAGCCCAGCGCCGAGACGCTTCTGGGACGCTTCTAGCCGTAATGCGGCGCTTCTGGTGGAATAGATAGCACCCATTGACTAGAGTGGCCGTGATCGCTGTGAACGCCAAGGCGCGGCCGTAACGCGACGCAGACGGACCCGGTGGAATCTAGGGGTCAGAGCGAATGCAATCTCTCCATAGGATTTTGGAAAATAGCTGGAACTAAGGTCTGTGGTTGAGACACATTTAAGAGACGGATCACGTTTTGTTCTAGGACATTAAATCCATCAGCAGTGACCCCACTGGTGATTTCTGAAGAGTTGACGTGTCTGAAAACGATGGTTGTTACCAAGTGGCTGAATAGGACTACAGAAGTCGTAGAGGCCGTTGTACGTCATTACGCCGAACACGTGAACACTCCTCTAAGTTAGTTTCTGTTCTGCTTGAAAGCAAGTCCCTGCCTCCTGCAGACTGTTCAAACAAACGCTTCAACTCGTTCCATCTAGAATCTGTGGTTTGAATCTGGATCTGAAGTTGGCGTGACGTTGAAGTCGTGCTGCTGGACTCGGCTGTAGTTCCTTTGTAGCATAACGTTAGCATTTAGCTTCTGGACATTAGATTTATGATTCGAACATTATAAAAGTAGACGTGTGGAGATTATCCGGCTGAACAAAACGTGCATTTATCAAACAGGTTCGTTTTCCACAGACATTATTTTCATCTATTTTACAAAATCCTCTGGAGAAATCCGTTGCTTTTTTGTCGAGGGAACCAGCAGCTTCCTTCCGGGTAAGTACGTCCTCCCTGCACCGCTCTATGGAAGTGTTTTTTAATGATTCATAACGTCTTGTCGCTGTATTTTTTCAACACTATGCGAAAACAATATCATATTATGCGAACAACATCCGTAAAAAAAATCTGCAGTCAGAAAATATACATCCTTTTTCCTTTGTACTTTAAAATAGCTTTTCTATCATGCAACTCTTGTTATTGTTTGAAACTGAGAAAGAGTAACAACTGGTGGGAGAGAGACGAGAGGAAACATGAACTCTTCTGAACCACGTTTACATGCACCAACATATCAAGACACTCTGTGTGACACGGACAGATAATAACATATTATCTCCATTTTGCACATTAACTACAAAGATACAAGCATTTGCGATGTGAATGAATTATCACTATAAATGTGGGATTTAATATCTGTTGGGTTACCTTTTGGGGTTAAAGCTGCATTAGTTGAATAATGAGTCAAATCTCTACATTATCCTGAATAATCAGTTTCTTCAGCTCTACTGTATTATAGCGTCTTTAATCTCAATATTTCATAGTTGTTTTGCCTATAATGTTACTTTTAAGTGAATTCAATCTACCGTTTTTAGCACAAAAAGTTCATTTTAATCGACTGTTGCTCCAGCAAAATGCAGAGACTTTTGATATAAGCACTTTCTTTAGGAGCTTAAGAGCCAGACGCTGGTTGCATGAAGTTATACGTTATTTCTATACCAAGGATTTCACCTGTGGCATTATTCTTTTCCTAGTATGGTTGCACAACCCAGTCTCACGGCATTTCGTGTTATAGTTCACCAACACGATTTCCCCCTTTTCAATCGTATAATGTCGGACTTTTGTTCGTCTGTGAGGAAAAGAAATGGCTCAGAGCCTCAGAATCCTGAAATCTGTATTTTTAAAATATTTTTTTCATTCTAATTTGTTATTCTTTTCTAAATAACATACTGTTATTTACTCAACAAAACACACAATTATCCTTGTTTTTATTTATTTGTTTAATTCTATAATCTCGTTTTTTTTGTGGCGTCCGTCAGGAACTGAATTTCAAAATAAAATAACCGGAAACAGATACACAGCCACTGAACTGATTACCCAAGATCCTCAGCTATGGTTTAAGCTCGGTGATTGGATTGTTTAGCCGCAATGCATGTTGGGATATGGTGTTTACAGGTTGCAGCGACATTGAGGTCACTTTAAAAAAACGTTGGGTTTATGGTGAGGTAACGTTTGGTTGTTACATTTGACGCTCTTTACAAGATTCAGCTGGAAATGGAGACTGAAGAACACTGCTGAACGATTTGATTGGAAGTTTATCTTTGAAATTCTATGCATTTTATCCGGACAAGATGTGGTAAGCGAGGTCCTTAAGGTCAACCTACAAAAATACAAGCATTTGCGATGTTAGCTAGTAGTATGAATGATCACTATTGATGTGGGATTTGTTGTCATTTGGGTTAAAGCTGCACTAGTTATTGATTATACATGAATAATGAGTCTACATCATCATGAATAATCACAGGCTTTTCAGCTCTACTGTACTTTAGCTTCTTAGATCTCAATATTTAAAAAAAAATTGGGTTTATGGTGAGGTAAACTTTGGTTGTTAAATTAAGATTAAACTGAAAAATGGTGACTGAAAACACTGCTGTAATATCTGGCCGATTTGATTGAAAGTAACATATTTGTAAGTTTATCTTGGAATTTCTATGTATTTTATCCGGACAAGATGTGGTAAGCGAGGTCCACGAGGTCAATAGCCAGGTTATGAACTCAGACTATAAAAGAAATCAGGGCTGGTTGCAACAGGATGACATTGGATCCAACGAAAAGTCAACCTCGATGTCTTTAAAGTCACAAAACTATCTTATCGTGAAGGTCTTTAAAGTCAGGATTATAGATTGTTTTAAATCTTCTTGGTCCCGATAATCCTCATGTCCACGGACGCCCCTAAACGCCCCGCAGTGCTTGTTCCTCACCGCACGCAACTTGGCTCTCAAAAGATAGAGGAACGATGAGGAAAAAGAGCATTTCAAATATATATATATGTACCTGTCTGGAGATTAACAGCGGAGGATGTTACAGAGTTATATGGTCAATAATAAAATGGCTTTAACTCGAGAAGCTGTGATTGCTATTAAAAAGCCGTACTGTCTAATTTTAGGTTTCGAACTTGGTTCATCTTTATCCGTAGCCGTATGCCGATGTTTATATTCCAACGATTAGCTAACCTCCGCAGCTCGACAGAGAATATACAGAGGTAGTTTTATGTAAAAAGAGTCTTGAGACCGAATAAGAACTAAAATAAGTCATTAAAATCTGACTTATATTTACCGGATCTTGCTTTGTTTCTACTGGAGAGAAAGACTCCCTGCTGTGTGCGTCACTCTTTAGTGTCCCCTGGTCTCCCAGCTGTGTGCGTCACTCTTTAGTGTCCCCTGGTCTCCCAGCTGTGTGCGTCACTCTTAGTGTCCCCTGGTCTCCCAGCTGTGTGCGTCACTCTTTAGTGTCCCCTGGTCTCCCAGCTGTGTGCGTCACTCTTTAGTGTCCCCTGGTCTCCCAGCTGTGTGCGTCACTCTTTAGTGTCCCCTTGTCTCCCAGCTGTGTGCGTCACTCTTTAGTGTCCCCTGGTCTCCCAGCTGTGTGCGTCACTCTTTAGTGTCCCCTGGTCTCCCAGCTGTGTGCGTCACTCTTTAGTGTCCCCTGGTCTCCAGCTGTGTGCGTCACTCTTTAGTGTCCCCTGGTCTCCAGCTGTGTGCGTCACTCTTTAGTGTCCCCTGGTCCTACCAGCTGTGTGCGTCACTCTTTAGTGTCCCCTCGGTCTACCAGCTGTGTGCGTCACTCTTTAGTGTCCCCTGGTCTCCAGCTTGTGTGCAGTCACTCTTTAGTGTCCCCTGGTCGCCCAGCTGTGTGCATCACTCTTTAGTGTCCCCTGGTCTCCCAGCTGTGTGCGTCACTCTTTAGTGTCCCCTGGTCTCCCAGCTGTGTGCGTCACTCTTTAGTGTCCCCTGTCTCCAAGCTGTGTGCGTCCACTCTTTAGTGTCCCCTGGTCTCCCAGCTGTGTGCGTCACTCTTTAGTGTCCCCTGGTTCTCCCAGCTGTGTGCCGTCACTCTTTAGTGTCCCCTGGTCTCCAGCTGTGTGCGTCACTCTTTAGTGTCCCCTGGTCTCCCAGCTGTGTGCGTCACTCTTTAGTGTCCCCTGGTCTCCAGCTGTGTGCGTCACTCTTAGTGTCCCCTGGTCTCCAGCTGTGTGCGTCACTCTTTAGTGTCCCCATGTCTCCCAGCTGTGTGCGTCACTCTTTAGTGTCCCCTGGTCTCCAGCTGTGTGCGTCACTCTTTAGTGTCCCCTGGTCTCCCAGCTGTGTGCGTCACTCTTTAGTGTCCCCTGGTCTCCCAGCTGTGTGCGTCACTCTTTAGTGTCCCCTGGTCTCCCAGCTGTGTGCGTCACTCTTTAGTGTCCCCTGGTCTCCCAGCTGTGTGCGTCACTCTTTAGTGTCCCCTGGTCTCCAGCTGTGTGCCGTCACTCTTAGTGTCCCCTGGTCTCCCAGCTGTGTGCGTCACTCTTTAGTGTCCCCCTGGTCTCCAGCTGTGTGCGTCACTCTTTAGTGTCCCCTGGTCTCCAGCTGTGTGCGTCACTCTTTAGTGTCCCCATGTCTCCCAGCTGTGTGCGTCACTCTTTAGTGTCCCCTGGTCTCCAGCTGTGTGCGTCACTCTTTAGTGTCCCCTGGTCTCCCAGCTGTGTGCGTCACTCTTTAGTGTCCCCTGGTCTCCCAGCTGTGTGCGTCACTCTTTAGTGTCCCCTGGTCTCCCAGCTGTGTGCGTCACTCTTTAGTGTCCCCTGGTCTCCCAGCATGTCTCCTCAAGTTGCTGAATGTTCTCTAAACGCTGCATGTGTTGTCAAGCTGCTGGAGATGTGTCTTCATGTGGAACCTTTGTGTTTTTATATCTGCTTCCTTTCTGAAGCTGCAGTTTCTCCTGATGGAAGTTTTAGAACGCTTTGTGGTCAAATAAAGTCAAGTCAAGTTGGATTTTTATTTTATTTTGTGCGATTTGTGGCCCTTTACCTGTGCAGGAAACCAGACATATTTACAGAAACTCAGGAGCTTTAGGACCTAAGAGACTCATTCAGTCCCTGCTCCTGAGGTAGAAGGTCCAGCAGCCTTTGAAGAACACATGATGGTTTAACACACAAACCTAAAACACACCACAGATTTCATTCAGACGGGAAGCAAGCAATAGATGTTGCTTTGTGGGAAACTCTTTACATGATGACTTGTATACAAAGTCATGCAGCCAAGTTCCTAAGACTTATCTCAAAATGTGGTTTCTGCACTACAGCTGAACATCAAACCAAATGAGTGTGTGTGTGTGTGTGTGTGGTATCTTTAAGAAAATAGGTGTCAAGCTAAGTTTTTAATTCTTTCAAAGTAAATGTTATTAGCTGCTCAAGGTTCTTAAGATGCACCGAGGGGACTTTTAGGTCCTCATTTAGTTCCTGAGTTCAGTTCCTGGGAGTACTTGGTTTTTTAAAAAGGGGCCATTAGACAAGAATAAGAGCAGAATGATGACTCTTCTTACCGTGCATACGTTTGTGCAACCAGCCCTGATTTCCCCACATTTTTAGACTTTATCATGTGACTTTATCCCTGCCTGTCGTAACTGACAATATATTGGTTTAATTCATCCGTCAAGTTGAAACCAAAGTGAATAAATCTTGATTGTTTTTGCTACCATTTATTAGCGGCTCCATTCAGCCTCACATGAAGAAGACTACCAACAACAGGGTGCATGTAAACGTGGCAAATGTTACTTTTCCAAAATGTCTCTGGTGCTCCCTCCTCTCGCCTCCATGTCTCTCCCTCTGATTGTCTGTGCATTTATTTTGAGTTCATACAGTTTTTCGAGGTGTGTGTGTGTGAGGTCCGGGTTCATTCAAACACTGCAGCAAATCTATTGCTCGGATAAAAAGGCATCACTTCACAGAAAAAAGAGGAGAAAGTAAAAAACACAAGCTGCTTTTTGAGGAGTAGTGTGAAGCTGGAGGAAGCGAGATATACAGAGCAAACGTGTTTTTGTCACATTGCAAACGACAATACCAGAAGATCCCGGATCAAAGAAGAGAAAGGAAAGCTACGATTTCAAAACCTCACCAGCTGTCAGTGTACCTCGCTGATGATTAGTCTTACTGACACCACATCCCACTGGCTGGTCACAGGGGGGTCTGACCCATTTGTTATCCATGCTTATTGTGCAGGTGTAACACTAATAAGTGTTTTAGTGTAAATGCATGCCAACATAAAAGTGTGGTGGACTGTTTTACAAACATTTCTGCAACTAGGGCTGCACAATTTTATAGAAGTCGCAAAGTGGATTGGTGCAGTATCCAAATCGCAGGAGGTGAAGTAGTTGTTACTGGCAAAACATTTTCAATTATTATTCTGAATTATGGATTGCGGTGCCGCAGAGATAGTCTGGTCGTGTCTATCGTTCTTTCAAACCAGTTTAGATAACACCAACGTCCTCATGACGACAGGACGGTGCCTGACTTATTAAATATAAACTGGATTAACAATAGACGCTTCCCAGCCTTCAAAGCGTACTCTACTGACCCAATCAAATATCTTTATTTGGTACAGATGCTCTTAAAAACCACACCATGACCACATGTCTCAGACTGATATCCAACATCTCTAATATCGTGATTGCAATTTCAGTCAAAATGAATGCTAAAATTGTGCAACCCATAATCTGCAGCCCACCTTAGCACCACGACGATGCACTGATTTAACGTGTTTTTATAGAAGATGTGATTTCTAGTGAGATGAAACACACAGGTTTTGTTTTCAAGATTGTTTTGAAGCTGCTGACGAGGACTAAAACAGTGTGTGAGCGGGTTCAATATGGAGGGCATCGTTCACTTGATTTTGGCACAGCATGTGGCACCGTTACACAAAAACAAAGTACTGTGTGATTGTCTCTTCCTGACTTCAGGGTCAGTATGTGCTTGAGTTGTTGGCCGGAGCGACCTGGAGGACGATCTGCTTTAAAACGCTGCGTTCCTTTCCATGTTGGAGATCTGAATCACTGAGGGTCAGTTTGTGGTTTTAAACTTTGTGCGTTTCCAGGTAGCTTATAAAAGAAAAATGGACACAAGGAAGATTGTATTTCCCAAGATACAGCTATGACAGAGTCTAAGGGCCTCAAGTGCTTTCTGAGTGCAACCGCTTCTAATTGTCCTTATTGATGAATCTCCTGATTATTTGGACAGAAAATAAGGAAACATGTCATTTAAGGGTTAAGACGATGCTTATTTGCTCAAACCTATGCTACAAAGTCAGATGGTATAGCATTTAATATAACATTTAACAAATATTAAATACATCCTAAAAATGTAAAAGCTGGAATAAGGGGATTTTATTTCAATATTTATCCTGTTGATAAACTAATTAAATCATAGAACTAAGATCCCCTTTAAAATAGCAGCCTTTGCAAAAGCCTTAATATGCCGTCATAAATAA